ATTCTACGTTGTACATACCTCCTTAGTGTTACTGTTCTCCTTATAGGCCTATGGTTTGGCTAAAACTTGAGCCATGGGGCTGAGTTAATTTCTAGACAGACTTGAAAGGTGACTAACCCCTCTAGAGGTCTGGGTGAGTTTTTCACATTTATATCTTTGGGGGATATATGAGGGAAAGTCAAAAAGAATTGTTACTAGAGTTTCAGTTCCTACATTCACAGGTTTATTCCAAACAAAACATGTTTAAACATGTCTCTGTGATTATTGGATGAAGTCGATTCTCTCATTAATCCACTTGCTATAACCTCATTACGGTACCTTCAGTAAAAAGGGGCCAATCAAAATGGCTTCCAAGAGGATCTGTTAGGGCAGTTAAATTCAAGTCACGGAGACAAGTTCAGAAGATTACAGCAATTGTTTTTGGGGATTCTTGATGAATTTTCTTGAAGGACATGTGAAGAAATTTTAAGAAAATTAAAAACTGCACCGGTGAGAAAAAGACTAGGCAAGTTGTGCTGAGGCATTTTTTTCCCCATCACACAATATATTTGCTCTTTCTGTGAGACTAGTAAGGGTTGTCCTATAAGAATGTCATAAGGAAATTATCCCATCCACCCTACAGTTCTGATCTTGTCCTTTCAGATTTTCTTTGTTTGTTCCCAAACCTCAGTATTGAAAAGGAACATGATTTGAATCCCTCAAAGATGCCATAAATGCTATTTTAACTTGCTGCTTGACATGGTGTAAATCGAAGAGTAAAAATTCTTCAGGGAAAGGTTAAAGAGGTGTTAACACCGCCATAGAAGTGTGTAGATCAAGGTGAAGGATATGTGAAGAAACTAGCTTCACAGTTTGTTGTTCTTGTTTAATAAAGGTTTCTATGATTTTATAACAATACATCTGGACTTATCTGCATGTAACTAAGACTAGAATTGCTGGGTTACATGGTAGTTGTATGTTTGACATTCAAGGAACCTCCAAACGGTTTTCTATAGCAACTGTACCCTTTTACATTCACACCAGCAGTGCTCCGTTGGTCCAGTTTCCCATATCCGGCTTCTTGTTAAGTGCTGTCAAGTCGAATCTGACTCATCGTGACCCTATACAGGGTTTCCAGGAAGCAGCTGATGTGTTTGAACTGCTGACCTTGTGGCTCACAGTCCAGTGCTGATCCTACAGTGCCCCCAGGAAGCCCTTGTAATTTTCCAGTGTTTTGAGAATAGGCATTTTAGTTGGGATACAGTGGTATCTTACTATTGTTTTGATTTACAAGCCTCTAATGCTAGGAGTTCTGGTGTGGCGCTGTGAGTTAATGCGCTAGACTGCAAAGCTGTTTGAACTGCAAGGTTGGTGGTTCAAGCTCATCAGCTGCTCCTTGGAAATCCTATACAAGGTCGCTATGGATCGGAACCAACTCAACGGCACTTAACAACAACAATGCTAGACTGGAGTCCTGGTGTGGTGCTGTGGGTTAATGCACCAGACTGCAAAGTTGTTTGAACTGCAAGGTTGGCGGTTCAAGCTCACCAGCTGCTCCTCGGAATATGGGTCAGAACTGGCTTGATGGCACTTAACAACAACAACAACAATGCCAGACTGCAAAACCTTTTGAGCTGCAAGGTTGGCAGTTCAAGCTCACCAGCTATTCCTCAGAAATCCTTTACAGAGTTGCTATGGGTCAGAACCAACTTGACGGCACTTAACAACAACAATGATTAATGATGTTGAACACTTTTTCATTTTGCTTCTTGGCCATTTTTATACCTTCCCTGGAGAAATGTCATTCAAGTCTTTTGTTCAGTTTTTCACTCAGTTGGCATTGCTGATGGCTAAGAGTTCTTCATGTATTCTAGTTATTAAAGTCTTATCAGATTAATAATTGGAAACTATTTTTCCCATTCTGTAGGTTGTCTTTTCACTCTTGATACTGTTCTTTGATACACAAGTTTTTAAATTTTGATCAAGTCCAATTTATCTCTTCTTTTGTTACTCATGCTTTTTGTGTCATATTTAAAAATCTATTGTCATATACTAACTTTTGAATCTTTGCCCTTATGTTTTCTTCTAAGACTTTTGTGGTTTTAACATTTATATTTACCATGTGGATCCATTTTGTGTTGTTCTTTTGTAGATTTTTTTTATATATATAAGTCTTTTGTGCTATTTTTGTATAAGCCTTGACCCAACTACATTGTCTTACATGTGGATATCCAGTAGTCCAGCACCATTTCTTGAGCACTGGACTGCTGTCTGTAAAATCGACAGTTGAAACCCACCAACAGTTCCATAGGAGGAAAAAGTTGAGGCTTTTTCCTCTTGTAAAGATTTTTCGCCTCAGAAACCCCTCGGCAGGGTCCCTATGAGTCAGAATTAACTCAATGGCAATGAATGATTTATAGATTTGTGGCTTTATTTTGGGGCTTTCAGTTTTCCATTGACCTCATCTTCTTATTTGTTCTCACTGCCATCAAGTCAACCTTGTACAGGATTGCTGAGGCTATAAATCTTTTTTCTTTAAGTGTTTATTGTGAATTGAGTGATAGTTTGCATGGGAGAACATCAGCTTTACACTCATCACTTCGTTGCAGTGATTACAGTCTTGAGGCTATAAATCTTAATGGGAGCAGAATGCATGCTCTTTCCCCAAGGGGTGGCTGATGGGTTTAAACCACCGACCTTGCAATTAGCAACCCAGTACTTATCCTACAGCACCACCCAGGCTTCTTCTAATTTCATGTTGGGGGTAGTGGTGGTGATGTGCCAGGGAGTCAGTTCTGACTCATAGTAACCCTGCATAGGGTTTCCGAGGCTGCAGATCTTTATGGGAGCAGACAACCTCATCTTTTCCCATGGAACAGCTAGTAGTTTCAAACTACTGACCTTAAAATTAGCAGCCCAACTTATAACTACTAGACTACCAGAGCCCAATGTTGTTGTTAAGTGCCGTCGAGTCGTTTCCGACTCATAGCGACCCTGCACAGAGTTTCTGAGGCTGTAAATCTTTACGGGAGCAGAAAGCCTCATCTTTCTCCTGCGGAACAGCTGGTAGTTTTGAACTGCTGACCCTGAGATTAGCAGCCCGATTTGTAACCACTATGCTACCAGAGCCCCATGTTAGACCTTCTTTAATGTCTTTCATAAGGAACCCTGCTGGTGTAGTGATTAAGCGCTGAGCTGCTAACTGAAAGGTTGGAGGTTTGAACCCATCAGCCACTTCATAGCAGAAAAATGTGGTGTTTCCTCTCATAAAGATTGTTGTTGTTAAGTGCTGTCAAATCAGTTCCAACTCATAGCAACCTGTATAGCATTTCCAAGGAGCAGCTGGTGGGTTTGAACCACCAACCTTGCAATTAACAGTCCAGTGTTTGTCGTATTCATAGAGGTTACAGCCTTGGAAACCCTATGGAGCAGTTCTACTTTGTCTTATAGGAGCACTATTGGAATTGACGACAATGTAATGGGTTTTGTTGTTGTTTTTGATTTCTTCAGCAGTGGTTTTTTTTTTTTTTTTTTTTTTAAACCTGTCTTGTTCCTTTATTATGTTTCAGCAGTGTTTTGTAGTTTAATGTTTAAGTCTTTCACTTCCTTGTTTGGATTTATACTTGAGTATTTTATTCTTTAGATGTCATTGTAAACTAACCAAGAAATTGAAGCTTCTGTCCACCCAGAGAGGCCTTGAAAGAAAGGCCTGTCAGTCTCCTGGCAAAGAAGTCAGCCATTGAAACCCCAGGGAACACATGACTGCTCTAGATAGGCAGGGTTACCATGAGTCAGAGTCTGCTCAGTGGCCACTTGTGGTAGTCTATCACTCAGCATAATGTTTTCACTTTTCATCAATGTCACTGTGTGTATCAGAATTTCATTTACCTTTATAGCTCAGTAATACTCCATTATGGTGTGTATGTGTGTGTGATGTATGCATTGTGGCACTGCAGGTTAATGTGCTGGATTGCACAGTCAGTTTGAACCTCAAGGTCAGCACTTCAAGCTCACCAACCACTCCTTGGAAACCCTATACAGGGTCGCTATGAGTCAACAGCACTTAACAGCAACATATATACATATATAGAGAGAGGGACAGAGAGTGAGTGAGTGAGTGAGTGAATGCGTCCTGGTATGGTGCTGCAGGATAATACACTGGATCACAAAGTCAGTTTGAACCACAAGGTTGGTTTGAACCACAAGGTCGAGGGTTCAGACTCGCCAACCACGTCTTGAAAACCCTATACAGGGTCTGGGTTTTCAGACCCTGTGATTCAGAACCAACTCAACAGCACAAACAATAACATATATGTAGCAACCCTGTCTAGGGTTTCTGAGGAGTGGCTGGTGGGTTTGAACTGCCAACCTTATGGTGAGCAATCCAGTGTTTTTCCTATAGTGTCACCCAGGACTCCAGTATACATGCAGGTTGTTTCACCTATTATGAGTAGTGTTGCAGTGGGCACTGATACACAATTATCTCTGCATTTCTGCTTCAAGAGTTTTGTTTGTATATGGAATTACTGGGTCACATAGTAATTCTGTGTCTAGTTTTTTGAAGAATCTTCATGCACTTTTAAAACCATATTCTTTCTGAATAACATATCAATGTTGAAAGCAGAAAAAATTACCTCTTTAGTGAGGCCTCTGAAATTGTTTTTGCCTTATGATACATAGTAATTTAATACTTCTATTATTGGACCTTCTTGTAGATGTGTGTTAACAAGCCTCTGAAACCTAGCTTCTTATGAGCCTGGGCAGTGTTTTTCTGGCACTCCAGTAAACAAAGACAGTTTGGGGTACAAAATGACTTCACAGTAAATATTTTTAAAAATAATTATTAAATAATTCAATAGTAGCTATTTCTGCCTTGATTTTTTACCTTTTCCTCACAATATAAATGACAAAACAATGAAATGGTAGGCTTCCTTTACATTTACATACGATTGTCACAAAGGAACAGGGTCAGAACTGAGCCCCAGTTTCTATGAAATTAGCTCCAATCCCAGTCCCAATCCCTTGCAGGGTTCAGTGTCATTCAAAGATGTGACCGTGAACTTCACCCGGGAGGAGTGGCAGCACCTGGATCCTGCTCAGAAGACGCTGTACATGGATGTGATGTTGGAAAACTATTGCCATCTTGTCTCTGTGGGTAAGAAACACTCTTTAAAACTGTCATTAGCATGCATTTTATTTTAAAGTGTATTGTCTGCGATTCCAGGGATGAAGGATGACAAGTTACTTTTGCTTAACAAAAAGTTTGATTGTGGCATCATTTGCCCAAGTACAGGTGACTAAGTTTGCAGATACACGAGTGTGAGTACTTTAATGTTTTCAGCACTGAAACTGCATCTTAGTCATTTTTCAAAGGGATTGACACCCAACAATTTTAGCTTAGTCTTATTTGTCCCAATCAGGGTGCCATATGACCAAGCCTGATGTGATCCTTAAACTGGAACGAGGAGAAGAGCCCTGGCCATCATTTGCAGGTCATACCTATTTAGGTGAGTTTCTGAGGCCCAAGCAGACACAATCTAGTGGAAATCAAATTTTTAAGTAGTTAAATGTGGGTGGCATTTTAAAAATGTCTTAGGAATATCTTTTTAAAGATCCCTAATCCAATGTGGAGTCCTGGTGTGGCACTGTGGGCTGATGTGCCAGACTGCAAAGTCATTTGAACTGCAAGGTCAGTGGTTCAAACTCACCAGCTGCTCCTTGGAAACCCTTTACAGGGTCGCTATGGGTCAGAATCGACTCGACGGCACCTTAACAACAACAACAATCTGGTATGGCGCTGTTGGATAAGCACTAGACTGCTAACCACAAGGTTGGTTTTTCAAACCCACTATCTACTCCGTGGAAACCCTGTACAGGGGCTCTAAGAGTCAGAACTGACCACATGGCACTTAACAGCAATAATAGTCTTTAAAATGACCTTCATGCTTCAAAATCTTTAAACCATACTTTCAAATATCACTCTGTCCAAATGCACGCTTCCTAGAGTACTTGGTATTTTCAGAAATACTCTGCTCTTTTATTGTTGGTTACCATTGAATTGATTTCAACTCATAGCAACTCCATGTGGCAAAATAGAACTGTCCCATTCATGGTGTTTCCTGTAATCTTTATGGAAACAGTCTGCCGCATCTTTCTTCTGTGGAGCTGCTGGTGGATTCAAACCACCAACTTTTAAGTTAACAGCTGAGTGCTTAACTGTTGCGCCATCAGGGATCCATTATTCCACTCTTAAGTTAGCCAAACTGTACTGTAAACTTTTCTCCTTTTAGACCTTTTTCTTAGTGTTTTGTCTGTCTTTTAGCATTCTCAGCCTCTTCTAGCCATTGTAACAGATTTCTGGTTAAGTGCTGTCAAGTTGATTCCAGCTCATAGTGACCCTGTTTAGTGTTTCTGAGCTTATAAATGTTTGCATCAGCAGAAAGCCTCAAATTTCTCCCACAGAGCACTTGGTGAGCTCGAACTGCCAATTTTGTGGTTCACAGTGTCCAGGCTTATCACATAGAGATCTGTCATTAAAAAAGAGAAAATAATTGCCAAATGTTTTTCTTCTTAATGCCTGTTTGTTTTTGCACTTGAAGTTTCCATTCTCACCACAAATTTGGCTGTCAGTTTTTGAAACTCATTTGCCTGGACCCAGATTGTTAATTTCAGACTCATCATTTTCTTTCAGTAAAGAAACCCTTGTGGTTCATTTTATAGTGCTGATCATCAACCCTTTGTCTTTGTTGTTGTTATTTTGTTTTTTCCAACGCTTGTTTTTGATAAAACAAAATTAATTCATTCTCTACCTGTTTCTATGAGTACTTACTTACAACTTAATCTGTTTTCTTCACCACTGTGGCCATATTACCTAGAACAATGCCTAACACAAAATAGTCACACAGATTTTTTTGTTGTTTAATGCATATTGTTTTACTGTACTTACAGTCTCAGATCCTCAAAGGGATTTGTCTTTATTAACTCCCTTGATTTATAATAACCTCATCCATTTTCAGGATTTAAGCTCCTTGTTTCATATACATAGCTGAAGCATCAACATTAAGCACATTTCTCCTACCTGCTCCCCAGTCCCTCAGCTGTGTTTCACTCAGCTGTCTCACCAATTTTGTTAAAGTATATCAGAAATAAAAATCACTAACTTGCCTTGTTCTAAAATTCTTTCCACCAATTTTTTTCTAAGTTATTGGTTCCCACCATGATGTCAGCTCTATTTCCTTTCTTTTTGATCTCTTCACAATGTGTCATCTGAATCCTCTTATGATCTCATTTCTCACAGACGTCATACAAAATGGCAACTATCTTATTTTGTGAATAAATTACCATAATTATTTGATTTTGCTATTTTTTTTATCTGAAATGTTTTCATTTATATTGTTACCTTCCTGACAAGATACTAAAACTGCATCTTAGTCCTTTTTCAAAAGTAATTGAATACCTACTCCCTGTAATTATTTAATTGAGATTTTCTTTCTTTCAAGGGCTACCACAATGAGGCCTTATCTGATCATCTCAGCTTTCTTTCTTTTTTTATTTTTTAATGCATTATTGTGAATTATGTGATAGTTTACATGGGAGGACATCTGCTTCACATTGATCCCATCATATATCGTTTCCTTGCCATGGTTACAATCCCTTCCATGCATCATCCATCAACCAAAGTGTATACCCCACAAGCCTGCCCCATGGTCGTCCGCACACCACCCTTCTCCCTCTCCAGGTCCAATGTCTACAGCCGCTCCATCTCCCCACGTCGTCTTCTCTGCCTCCATCCCTGGCATCCCTGATTCTCTGGTCCTCTGGGTAGGATTCTGTTCTCCGCTATTCTTCACTATTCTCCTTATTGCAAGGTTAATCACTCCCTTCCCTTTGCCCCCAAATGTCTACATTTTCAGCCCTTACAATCAGTCCTGATAACAGTTATTCACCATTATATCACAAGAGACCTATCCCCATCTCCTTTCATCAGCCCTGACTAGGCAGAATGGATACTACTTAGTGGAGATTCCACCTTGCTCCATGCCCTCTGGATTTAGGTTCCCTCTTGAAAACTTGTAAACCAGTCACTTCTTGCCTCTGTAGCCCCCCATTCTGGGTAACCTCTGTCCAAGTTGCCCATCCCTGTCCTCTCCATGTGCGGAGGAGGTGGGAATGGTCCTCACTGTGAAGATTTGTTCACTCTTTAGAGCTACTGCTTCCATAGGTCTATGTCAAGTTCATCAAATTGTATCAGATTATTCTTTTTTCCCTCCTCTTTCTTCTTCTGGTTGAGCTTTGATCATCCAGCCATTGAAGCCAGGTCAAGTGGGTATTATCTGCAAGTGTGGGTGTACTTATGCATGTGCCCTCTCTTCTTATCAGCTGGACACTTCACTCTCCACTCTCGTCCTCTGTGGCTATGTCACTGACTCTGAGTCCAAGAGTCCCCTGGACTTGGCACACTGCTGGCCAACCAGGTCTCCACCCGGATTCACAGGAGTCTATTGAACGTTGTAGGGCTTAGCTTGCAGCGTCATTGCTGTTTTTCCCTCACTTCCCCTTATCAGTGATGAACGTGGTCACCAATCAGAGCAAGCATTCCCATTGAACTTTAATCTTAGAAGGGGGTTTGTCCTGAGGCGAACCACTTGTTTGTTCTTCAAGGTAATCAGTCAGCCTGCCTATATTTTTTCTGTCCGTCTTTCTTTCAGGAAGTATCTTCTGTTCTCTGGCCACTCCAGGCTGGTCTGCTTGTCCTTTCAAGTGGAAATTTCCCCCAGAAGATTCTGGATGCTGTTTATGATTCCACTTGTGGTCTTGTGTAATGCAGAGGCTCCACAGGAAGCCTCCTTCACTGGGCACGTTGTATCCCCATTTTAGGTATTCCAGTCAGTTATAGGCAGAAGATAGACTTAAAATCAGCTTTCTTTCTTGATGAAAACTTTTGCTAATTTCCTCTTATGACCTAGTCTCCTAAACATTCTCGATGCATGTAAGGTATGCATATCTCTATGCATAATAAAATCACATCTGTAATTTTATTGTATTGTGTTTTCCCTTCTAGATACTACTTATCTTTTAAGTTAATTCCTAAGATTTTCCCTCCATGAATTATTCCATACCACATTCACCTTTCCTTTTTCTGAATTTTGGTAGTTCTTACTATGACACACACACACAAAATTCTTAAGTATGATCTTATAATTTGGTACCTGATTACACGTTTCTTGCAATGCATAGATATGATCCTATGTTTGAATTTTATTTTCTGTAATCTATAGAATGTTTTGATATTTAGTAGTTACTTCATCAATTGTCCATGGAGCTATTGAGGGTTGAGATTTTTTTTTCCCTCCATTCAGAAAGCATGTCCTGAGAAGTTCCTTTTAATACCCTTGCTCTTGCCATGTCCCTGTAGACTCTGATTGAAATGGCTATTCTGCCAAATATACACCTATTATATATATATACAGTGAATCCTGGTATGGCACTGTGGGTTAATATGCTGGACTGCAAAGTCATTTGAACCACAAAGTCAAATGTTCAGGGTCACCAGTCACTCAGTCGAAACCCTATACAGAGTCATTATGAGTCAAAATTGACTAAATGGCACTTAACAACAAAAACAACAAGATATACAATGTTGATGTAAACACAGACAGCTTCAATGGAGATAGCCCATAAAATGCTTCTTTCTGTGACCATAAAGGACTCCTGGTGTGGTGCTGTAGGATAAGCACTGGACTGAAAATCCCAAGGTCAGTGATTCGGCAGTTAAAACCCCCCAGCTGCTCCTCGGAAACCCTGTATAGGCTTGCTATGAGTCAGAGCCAACTCAGCAGCACTGAACAACAATAACATGAGCATCATATATATTTTTAATGGAATATTTATAATTCTAGTAAAAGATTATTAAAATAATTGTTAAAATGCATTTTTCAGACCATAATTATTTTCAGTTTAAAGAAAATAGTGTGGTGGAGAGTAGTGGAGGATTTTTGAAATCCTGGCAGTAGCAGTGTTTGGAAGAGTCTCTAAATCTGAGTAGAGATAAGATCAGAGAGGAGGTGAACTGGTTAGAAGAACAGGACCAGTGGCTTGAGATCAGGAATAGTGAGGTATTTGTGTAGCAATAAATACTAGATCTGATTAAAGCAAATATTGCATGTTATGGGTGGAATTTGTCAAATATCTAGACAAGCCTGAAAAAAATGTGTAAGTAATAAGTTAATCCAGATTATATAAAATTTTAATTACAAAGGAAATTCCTAAATGTTAGTACGAAAAGTGATAGACTCAAGGAAAAAACAAATGATTTTTGAACTCATTTTAAACATTTCTCACTAGATGTAAATGCTTCTATTATAAGAAAAATGCAAGTTAAGATTCATGGATGAAGCTGACTCCTGTAGTCCCCCCATATGGAGAACTGGAGTTAAGGAATGTCACTGCGCTGGGATAGACTTTAGCCAGTCTTTCCTTAAACGTGGAAAACTAAGTAAGCAAACTGAAAAGAGAAATAGTTAGAATTGATGGCCAAGAGAGATTCATTATTGAATCATTCTGAAAAATTAATTGATGGTAGCAGCCATCTGAATACAGCAGTAAATATTTTAAAGTTCCTGTTGGAAATGCTTTCCTTCTTCCTTTACAAGAGAAATTGATTTTTAGTCATAAGTAAGACTAGAGCCTAGACATAGGATTATGTTTTAAACATCAAAAAAGTGATGTTGGAAAAAATTAATTTGCCATTATTGACTGAATATATGAGAGGAAGAAATAAACCTACTGGAAGCATTTTACCCCAGTAATCTAGGGTTGAATATACAAAAATATAGGCTCTGATCTATGTCCTCCAAAAGTAATCCATTTTTTCATGTATTCTTTGAACATACATTTCTTGTCCATCCTACTATTGGTTTATTGCCTTTGATAGGTTCATGTCATTGCCTCGGAATCTACCAATTCAAGCAACAATCCCTCTTCTACTATTCTTTTGTCTTCTGCAGACTGCTTCTTGTGTTCATTTCACTTTTTCTGTAAAGTTCCTGGTGCAAAAAATTACTAGTATTCATTACTTAGTTTTTCTTCCATTTTCACATTGATGCACAGGCTTCTCGTTTATGTTTTATGGTTTTTCCCAGCTGGGAGGTAATTTATCCTTGTCCTTTTTCACCCATACTGTAATCCAAAAAGGCATGATCAGTTTGCCCTATTACAATTCCTTCCAATAGCAAATGTATGAAAATTCATAAATTGTTATTAACTGTATTCTTTCCTAGAAGAAAACTGGAAAGCAGAAGACTTCTTAATGAAATCTAAGGAACAACAAGATAAATATTCTAGATCAGTTGTATTCATCAACCACAAAAAACTGATTAAGGAGAAAGGTATTATGTATGAAAAGACACTAACTCTAGGCAAAAACACTTCTGAATATGATACTCATAAAACAATTTTGAAAAACGTTTCAAAATTAATCATCAATAACCTAGGCCCTGCAAGAAAGAAACATGGTGAATGTAATGGATATGGAAAATCATTCCTCAATACTAAGCAAGAGATAGCTTATCCTAGAGTCAAATCCCATAATCAAAATGGGAAAGTTCTTAGTCATAATGAAGTGCTTACTCACTTTCAGAATATGGAAACTCCAGCACAGTCACTTGGATATAAGGAACATGCAACATCCTTCCTTAAAAAGGGAGGGTTGATTACACATAATATAGCTTACAGAGGGGGAAGCCCATCGAAGTATAATCAAAAGAGAAGAGCAGGCAATATTGAAAAAAAACATACATGCACTGAATGTGGGAAATCCTTCTGCAGGAAGTCAGTCTTGATTCTACATCAGGGAATTCACACGGAGGAAAAACCCTATCAGTGTCACCAGTGTGGAAATGCATTTAGAAGAAAGTCCTATCTCACTGATCACCAGAGAACTCACACAGGAGAGAAACCATTTGTTTGTAATGAATGTGGTAAGTCCTTCCGCCTAAAGACAGCCCTCACGGATCATCAGAGAACACATACAGGGGAGAAATCATATGAATGTTCAGAATGCATGAGTGCCTTTAGGTTGAAATCACACCTCATTCGTCATCAGAGAACTCATACAGGAGAGAAACCATATGAATGCAATGAATGTGGGAAGGCCTTCCGTCAGAAGACAACACTCTCTCTACATCAGAGAATTCATACAGGGGAGAAACCGTATATCTGTAAAGAGTGTGGCAAGTCTTTCCACCAGAAGGCAAATCTCACTGTACATCAGAGAACTCATACAGGAGAGAAGCCTTATATTTGTAACGAATGTGGCAAGTCATTCACCCAGAAGACAACCCTTGCTCTTCATGAGAAAACTCATAATGAGGAGAAACCCTATATTTGTAATGAATGCGGGAAGTCCTTTCGCCAGAAGACAACCCTAGTAGCACATCAGAGAACACATACAGGGGAAAAGTCCTATCAATGTCCTCACTGTGGGAAGGCCTTTAGAATGAAGTCATATCTCATTGATCATCACAGAACTCACACTGGAGAAAAACCATATGAATGTAATGAGTGTGGGAAATCCTTCAGTCAAAAAACAAATCTCAATCTGCATCAGAGAATTCATACAGGGGAGAAACCATATATTTGTAGTGAATGTGGAAAGTCCTTTCGCCAGAAAGCCACCCTTACTGTACATCAGAAAATACACACAGGGCAGAAATCCTATGAATGTTCTCAGTGTGGGAAAGCATTTAGCAGGAAGTCATATCTCATTCATCATCAAAGAACTCATACAGGGGAGAAACCATATAAATGTAGTGAATGTGGAAAGTGTTTTCGTCAGAAGACAAATCTCATTGTTCATCAAAGAACTCACACAGGGGAGAAACCCTATATTTGTAATGAGTGTGGTAAATCTTTCAGTTATAAGAGAAACCTCATTGCCCATCAGAGAACTCACAAGGGAGAAAACAATGACATGCAATAAATAATTTCTTTGTGAAGATTTTCCAATTCTTTATAAACTTTTTAGTTTGAAAAAAAAGCATGCCTAAATATTTTAATACCAACTTTAATCGTAAGTGTAATAATAGTCAATTTAATTATCTATTGCTTATTAGCATACTAAATATGTATATAATTATTGTTGCTAAATCTATCATCAATGAAGCTATTTTTTAAAAAAACTTTTTCAATCACTGCTGAATCAGATAGTTTATTACACATATTTATACAAAAGGGCTTCCAAAAATTCATGGAAAAATCCATTTTTCACAAACTTTTTGAAACCCCTTCATGTGTATACATGTGTATAAGAGTAAGTCAAAAAGTATTTTCATTCAGGTCTAGTTCATACGTGCACAGTTTTATTTTAAACAAAGTATATTTAAACATACACCTGTGACCCACGGCTGCAGAAAATTCTCTTAGTAGTACATTTATGTTAGTCTTGTCAGGTGCCTTCAGAAAAAAAAGGTCCAGTCAAACCAGTGACTTCTGAGGGACTCTGCTGTTCCAGTTAAATTCAAGACAGAGAGGTCAGTGCATTATGTTATGGCAACTGTATTTTGGGCTCCCATGGGGTAATCTTGATAGACTTTCTTAGGGACACAGGTTGACTATGGGGGCTTAATATGAAGTTTTAAGAAAATTGAAAACTGCATTGGTGAGAAAAAGGCCAGAAAAGTTATGCTGAAGAATTGTTTTCCATCACAACGGTGTACCTGCTCATTCTTGAAGTATAGCAAGAGCTGTCCTAGGAGAATTTGGTTGAGAACCCTTACCCTATCCACCCTACAGCCCTGATCTTGCCCCTTCAGACTTTTTGTTCCCCAAATTCAAAGACCATTGGAAAGGAACATGATTCCCTTAAGGATGGCAAAACTGCAGTGTCAGTATGGTGCTAATCAGGAAATTCTTTAGGAAAAGGTTGTTATTGTTGTTAAGTGCCGTCGAGTCAGTTCCAGATCATAGTGACTCTGTATAAGGTTTCCAAGGAACAGCTGGTGAGCTTGAACTGATAACTTTGTGGTTCACATGGCCTTACAGTCCAGCGCATTATCCCACGGCGCCACACCAGGATTCCAGGGAAAGGATTAGAGAGATGGAAACACCACCTTCAGAAATCTTTTGACCTAAATGGAGGAGATGTTGAGAAAAAATAGCTTCACAGTTTGATATTTTCGTTTAATAATGTTCCCATGATTTTATAGCAATATGTGTTGTTATGGGCCGTCGAGTCGGTTCCAATCCATAGCGACCCTGCACAGGGTTTCCGAGGCTGTAAATCTTTACAGGAGCAGAAAGCCTCATCTTCCTCCCACAGAGCAGCTGGTAGTTTCGAACTGCAGACCTTAAGGTTCATAGCCCAATTCGTAACCACTATACTACCAGAGCTCCTTAGCAATACTTGTTGACTTACCTTTATATATATACAGACATATGCAAAGGCAAGATATAAAATAACGATAAGCACCAATCTCCATAAAAGAAAAACAATGAGCTCTATTTGCTATTATTCTCTGGAACAAAAAGTAGTTGTTACATTCCCAAAGATAGCCACTACCCTAACTTACATTAAAAATATCAAAGTGTAGTTTTTGCATGTTTTACATCTTTGTTTTTATTATGCATCATGAGTTTCTAGTCATCTGCTTTGTTTCACTGATCATTGGTTTTAAGATTATGTACCATTATTGCGTATGGCAGTGGTGTGTTTCTTTTTATTCTTTTCAGTCACTTCAAGAGTCCACTATTCAGTTGATGGACATTTGTATTTTTTAAAGATTTTGTGTTATAATAAAAACACTGCTATAAGTACTCTTGTATATGTCGTTTGGTGTGTCTATGTGCATTTGTGTTGATTTTATACTTAAGGGTAAAATTACTTGGTCCTAAGGCATGAGTCCTGGGTTAGTGCTCCAGACGGCAAAGCCATTTGAACTGCAAGGTCAGCAGTTGAAGCTCACCAGCCGCTCCTTGGAAACCCCATACAGAGTTGCTATGGGTTGGAACCGACTCGACAGCACTTAACAACAACAACAACAGAGCAAGTACAAAGAATGGGTATTTCAGAACACTTAATTATGCTCATGAGGAGCCTGTAGATAGACCAAGCGGTTGTCAGTAGAGCAGAACAAAGGGATACTGAATACTTTAAAGTCAGGAAGAGTGTACACTAGAGTTTTATTCCTTCATCATACTTACTCAATCTGTGTGCTGAACAAACATTCTGAGAAGCTGGATTGTATGAAGAAGAGAGTGGCATCAGGATTGGAGAAAGGAAGATTCATTAATATGATGAGTAATATTAATGATGAAACAGCCTTGCTTGCTGGGAGTGAAGAGGATTTAAAATACTTAACTAATGAAGACCAGAGGCCACAGCCTTCAGTATGGATTATATCTCAATGTAAAGAAAACAGAACTCCTCACCACTGGACCAATAAATAATATCATGATAAATATAGAAAAATTGAAGTTGTCAAGACTTTATTTTGCTTGGATCCACAGTGTTGATACACTTATGGAAGTGGCACCGATGAAATTGAGTGTCATATTGAAATAGGCAAATCTGCAGCACAAGACCTCTTTAAAGTGTTAAAGAGCAAAGTTGTTAGTTTGAGGAGTAAGGTGCACCAGACCCAAACCATGGTATTTTCAACTGCCTCATCTGCATGTGAAAGTTGGACAATGAATAAGGAAAACTGCAGATAAATCACTGCATTTGAATTATGATAGTAACAAAGAATATTAAAAGCACCATGGACTTCTAGAAGAACAAACAAATCTGTCTTGGAATAAGTACAGCCAGAATGCTCCTTAGAAGGGAGGATGAGACTTCAGTTCTCATACTTTGGACATGTTTTCAGGAGGACTCAATCCTTGGAGAAGGATAGCCTGCTTGATAAAGTGGAAGACCCTTAACAAGATGGATTGACACAGTGGAAACAACGGAGTCAGGCATAACAACTATCAGTATGGTGCAGAACTGGGCGGTATTTTGTTCTGTTGTGTATAGGGTCACTATGAATCAGAACCAAGTCAGTGGCACCTAACAACAATAATGACAGCACACAAATGTCTTACCAATGAGTCTATTGATAATTCCTCCTTGGTAGTTCCAATCAGCATAATGTCATCAATGTAATTTATCAATGTGATGTTTGTTGTGGAAGGGACAGGTGATGAAGGTCCATGTGAACTAAATGATGACAGTGCTGGAGAGTTGATATCCCCCTAAGGATAGTGAAGGTGTATTGTTGGCCTTGCCAGCTGAAGACATACAGCTTCTGAAGGTCCTTCAAAACCAGAATTAAGAAAAATCCATTTGTCATATCAGTAGCTGTATACTAGGTACTAGGAAATGCATTAATATCCTCAAGCACTGAAACCACATCTGAAACAGCAGGTTCCACTGGTTACGTTTTTAATAATCCACTCTCATTCTCCCAAGATCCATTCATTTTTTGAACAGACAAAATAGGTGAGTTAAGTGGGGATGTGGTGGGAATCACCAACCACTGCTTCCTTCAAGTCCTTGATGGTGGAGCTAGCTAATCACTTTAGTTCCTCCAGGAATGCAGTGTTGCTTTTGATTGACTGTTCTCCTAGGTATCGGCAGTTCTAATAAAGTCAGCAGTTCGAAACTACCAGCCGCTCCGCGGGAGAAAGATGAGGCTTTCTACTCCCGTAAAGATTTACACCCTCGGAAACCCTGTACAGGGTCGCTATGGGTCGGAACCGACTCAATGGCACTTAACAACAACAACAATGGCTTCCACTTGGCTATTCCTATCATAATCCTTACTCCACATGTCTGCAATCTGACCAGTGTGGGGGTTCTGCCAGTTGCTGAATATGTCTATTTCAATTATGCATTCTGGAACTGGGGAGATCAGTATAGGAAGATTCAGCGATCCACTAGACCTGTGTTGCGATTCTATTAATAACCTGAGCTCTCTGGGATTAGTGTCAATTCAGAGCCAATGTCCAGGAATCCCAAAAAAGTCTGATTATTTTTCCCCAATGAACAGTCACTCTCATAAAAGACCATAAATCCCTTGGGGGAAACTGGGAGAAAGATTAACAGTATAAATCTTTCCTCAAGGGAACCTGATTTCCCTTTCATTCAAATGGTTATGAGTCTGGGTATTGATTTAGAAGCTGTGGCTTTCTATTTTGGCAAATCAAGTTATTCTACCGACCACTTGATCAAAAATCCTTCATTTGTACAAATCAACTTTATATTTAGTAAGCCTCCCATCTATTTCACTCCTAGGGACATCAGGCCTAAGTAACCAATATTTTAAGTCCATACACATCAGACTATTCTGAATACTGCTCTCTACCATATATCATGACAACTGTTGTTGTTGTTGTCAGGTGCCATCGAGTCGGAACCGACTCATAGCGACTCCATGCACAGCAGAACGAAACAATGTTCGATCCTGGGCCA